GGTTTAGGAGGAGATAGGGGATGGACTCCATTAATACGGCAAATATGTGTATCTATTGAATACAGCGAATATGTATATCTATTGTGAAGTATGAAAGTGTTTAAATGTGTTATTGATACAGTAAATATGTGTATCTATTGTGAAGTCTGAAAGTATTGTTGATATGAGCTATAGTCTCATTAAATTATTGGCCAGGTTTTGAGTCATATTCATAAATTGAGAACTGGATAAGTAATGGAAAATGGAATGAAACATGGACATTTGTGTCATGTAATTGAATTGAATTATAAATTGATTTATGTGAGTTAAACATTTATCAAATGTTAATGTTTTAGTTATTGCTCATATTATGTTTAGCATATCTTTACTGGGCGTTGGTTCACCCTATATGGGACATTATTTTCAGGTACAAGAGTTATGCCACCTCCAAGGACGTAGCTTGGGAAGCTTGAGGCTATTGGACTTTTTTTGTTATTTTTGTTATATTACGTGTACATCAAGCTAATGGCTTATTTTGTATAGAGCTAGTACTCTCTTTTTGTAACCAAGTGTTGACTTGGAAAGTTGTAAGCCCTTAGGGCATTTACTTTTGTTGTCAACGTGTAATACCTTTTGTAAGAATACTCTGATGATTGTAATATGAAATCTCTTTTCTTTATCGTGAATGTATGATATTATGGGTTTATTTTGAGGGCGTTACAGCCCAGAAGTTCATGTGTTTTACAGTCCGCTCGAGCGAGAGAGTTCATGCTCGAGCGAGGACCTGAGTCTCACGCTCGAGCGGAGGTCGAGCATCCGTCGAGCGTGAATTGCACGCATCCAGTACTTTTCATGAAGTTTGTAGTCCACTCGAGTGAAGGAAGTCACGCTTGAGCGGAGCTCATTTGTCTGCATGTCCGCTCGAGCGTAGAAAGCCATGCTCGAGCGAGACCCCTGTTTTCTGAAAATTTTGAAAAGTATTTTAAAGTGCATCTTTGCATCCTCTTTCCATCCTAGGCATTCCTAGGCCATGTTTAAGGCATCTTATTGAAGATATTGATGTAGAACCACACCGGATCAAGATAAGGACTAGGTTGTTGTTTCCCAAGCATGTAACTTAGTGTGTGTTCGCTCTGTAACTGTGTAGGGTTATCATTCGAGGACGCTCATTAGCTGCTTATAGCCCAGTGCTCTGTGAGTAACAATGTTGTAAAGATATGTTCAATCATGAATATTTTCTGAATGATCAACTGTACTACTTTTTGAAAAGATATTTCTTACTGAATAAATGTTTGTCCTATTTGTGAACTATATTTGTGGCATCCATATCAAATTACTGTTACTGCTACTGTTACAGAGATCTTTGTTAGTTCCAATGTTGGAACCACTACTGTTTACTGTTATGATGGCCATCAATTGACTGTTCGGTCTGCTAAGACCTACTGTACTGTTTTGCTATTGGATGTACCACAAATAACTGCTATGGTTTCTAAGTGATTGATATGACTGTTTAAATACTGAAAGGACATTCATTTTTAACCCCTTTACGCATATGTTATTCACTGGGCTTTAACTCACTGTTCATATTTATATGTAGGTGTCCAGGCACCGGACTGGAGCTAAATGCGTCGGGTTAACTCCCTTTTGTCAAGCCAACCTTTGTGCCTCACTTCGAGGTTTCGAGTGTGTTCAAGCTAAGGCTTTTTGGGGTGTCTCAGCTCACCATTCTGTCTCTGTTTTGTTGTACTATTTAAGACTTGCACTGTACTGTTATGTTAGGGATTTGGTCCCTAACTTGAATGTCTGTATATGATGTATGTATATACTGTTTTGGTTTTCAATGTGAATATGTTCAGAAAGTCTTTTTGCATTCAGATTGTCATAGCTCATTGGACATCTTCTATTTATTGTTTTGGCTTCCGCCAGTCCCTTTACTCTGTATTACTGTCATTACTGTTAAGTAGGCCTTCGGTGATCCCAAAAATTCTACTAAAAGTTTTATCAAATGTCTCACATTGGTAAAATTTTTAGGGCCTCTAACATTTTTGTTTGAGAATAAATTTGTATTTTGAGTTTGTGAATTTTGGAATTATGATTTGAGTGTAGAAAATTTGTTTGGCTATGAGTTTTGAAAAGAATTTTGAATTTTAAATTGGGTTTTGAGTTGAGTGTTGAATTGAGTCTCAAATATTTGATGTGACATGTGAAATAAGAAAATTTATTTAGTTATGAGTTTTCAAAAGAATCTTTAAAACTTAATTCAAAAAATTATAACTCATACCAAATATATAACTCAAAACTCTATTAAAAATTTTATTCAAAACTCATAACCAAACTTTTTTTAACATTCAAATAAAAAAAAATGTCATTTTAGTTTAAAAAAATAATTTTTATATTTTAAAAATATCAAAAACAAATATAATTTTTTTTTTTCAAATAACAGGTGGCGATTGGCGATTGACAATTACAAAAAATAAAAATAAAAATAACTGTTTCAGTCAATTGACCAGACGTTCGGAAGGATGACAGAGTAGACTCAATTTAAAAATCCTCTACTTTTCAAAATAGAGAACATGAAAGAACGAGAGTAGCCAAACATAAAAGATATTTACATTTTAAAATGTGTGATAGAATCACATATTGAAAACTTCATACAAATAAATACAAATAAAGTGATGAAATTATATTTATAGAACATAATTAAACAAAGCTTATAATTCTAAAAATAAAAATAATAAATACAGTAATGTGGTTTTCCAAAAGTTGCGGAATTTTCGGACTCCCTTCTCAGATTGGTGGTGGGTCATCCAAAGCTTTTTTTTTTTTTTTGTTTTTGTTTTTATTAAGCAAAATTAGTGTTACTTTTATTTAATATATTAGTCATTTTGGTTAATTATAATATGCCTTTGTTAATTTATTTTTAGTTGTCCGAAATAATTCTTAGATAAATTAGCTATTATATATGTGATGATTTACTAATGTATGATAATTTTTTAAAATTTTCAATAATGTGTAATATTAAATATTTTTAATGATGTAAAATAAGATTTATATACATAAACTAAATAAAAATATTAAGAAATATAAACAAATAATAAATTTTTTTTAATAATTATTGACTTTCTAAAATCCTATGTACTTCACGGATTACGATTAATAATAAATACAGTAACGTGGTTTTCCAAAAGTTGCGGAATTTTCGGACTCCCTCCTCAGTTGGTGGTGGTGGTGGGTCATCCAAAGCTTTCTGTTTTTTTATTTTATTTTTATTTTTTAGACTTCACTTTCGATCTCTACTCCTGCTTGCATTTTCCATCCATCTAGCCAATCACATTCTCGCCCGCATAGTCCTCGTTTTGGACTCTAATTATTTATTTGGATGATATTTTTATGAACCAATTTGCAGAGCCTTTAAAACTTATGCCACGTAAACGTACAACTACTTGAAAGTGCTCAAAAATCTGAACTAACCATGGCAACAGCCATAATTTATCTGTTAATAGTTTTTAACACCTTGTTTTTACTCCTATCTATATATATATATGCCCACCCTGCATTATTGAACTCATTTTTTTAACGTTTAAATTTTTAGGATAATTATTCACTTATAAACTCTTGATCTAAAGAAATCTGAGTTAAAATTTTCACTCTTATTATGGGTGCTTTAAAAAGTGGATAAAAAGTTAATTTTTAATTTTTTATTCATTTTAAATTATATCACTTCTTATATTTTTTACTTACAAAAAAATTAAATAGATTAAAAAAGTCAAAAAATTAATTTTTTACCAATTTCTCAAAACATTCCTATCTCTATCATTGTGTATTTGGCTTGATCTATCTTTGTAAATCTTATTCTTTTAATTTATTTGTCTTCTCACATCTAAAATAAAATGTGCTAGCTTATACATTATTAAGGTGGTGTTTGGCAAGTTGGTTTGTGGCTGAAATAGTTATAAAAGACAAAATATGTTATTTTAGCCACAATAAACAAAATATCACATCAAATTCATAATCATTATACTCTTCTCTCACCAAAAAAATCAAAAAAGTTAAAAAACTAAAAACCCTTCTCAAACCAAGTTTTTTAACACAGACTAAAATAGTCAAAATAGTCAAAAAATTAAAAAGCCAACCCACTTCTCCAACGGAGGCTAAAAAATATTAACTTATACATTATTGACTTTATTTTTAAGAATTTGAATCTAGTGACTTGATAATATGAGACGTCAGGGGTGGTTTGGGATGACTTAAATAGGTGTATTTTTTATTTTTTTACGAAAAAATGTGCAGAAAAGTAGAGAAGTGATGTGATGAAACAAAGATAAAAAGATAAATTATTTTTGAGTTACAAAAAATAATATTACTTTGCACAATAACATTAAAATTATATCATGTATCATAATTATATTAATTTATTAATAGCAAAACGAGCTCCCCCAAATCCCCCTAATTTCTTTTTTTTTTTTTTTTTAGCAGAGAAGGAGAAGAGAAGGGAGGAGGAGGAGGAGGAAGGAGGAGGAGGGATTATTAGTCCTGGGATACATTGTCCCCGGACTATTTGGTTAAACTGAATTTATATCCTTTGTTTCTTTAGTTATGAGATTAGGGCTAGGCGACGATTGGCGGCTAGCGAGGCGACGATCGGCGGCTCTCTCTCCCTCTCTCCCTCTGCTTCTCTCTCTCTCTCTCTTTTTCTCTCTTCTCTCTTCCTCTCTGCGTTTGAGTCGAAAATGGAAAGAAAACAAAAAAGAAAAAAGAAAAAATTCTCCAAAACGACTTCGTTTTGGGGATTAAGGAGATTAGGGGAGACCAAATTCGAGCTCTCAAACATTATTCAAATAATAAATATTAATTTATTAATAGCAGTACATTAAATAATAAACCCCATATTGTACGTAAATTTTATCATTATAATTATATTTATAATGTTATTATATTTTATATTTTATTTCGAATTCATAGGACCAAATACATTTAATACATGGATTAAACTCAATACCTTTGCCTTTATAAACCACGCTCTCCCCCACCTTTACCCAATTCATCACCAATATCCCCCCTATCTCTCTCCTCAAAACAAAGAAAAATAGAGAGAGAGAGAGAGAGCACAAACATGGGTTTGCCCAGATCCTTCGTCTCCATGGCCGTCCTCCTATTTTTCACTCTCTTCGTGCTCTCATCGGCGCTAGACATGTCGATCGTCAACTACAACGAAAAGCACGGCGACAAATCGAGTTCGAGGACCGACGAGGAAGTGATGGGTCTGTACGAGTCGTGGCTAGTCAAACACGGCAAGTCCTACAACACCATCGGAGAAAAAGAGAAGAGGTTTCAGATCTTCAAGGACAACCTCAGGTTCATCGACGAGCACAACGCCGAGAACCGGACCTACAAGGTGGGTCTGAACCGTTTCGCTGACCTAACCAACGAGGAGTACCGGTCCATGTATTTGGGAGCAAGGTCTGGGTCTAGGAAGAGACTTTCGGCTCCCAAGAAGAGCGATCGCTATCTTCCCCGCGTCGGCGAGTCCTTGCCGGCGTCCGTCGATTGGAGAGAGAAAGGTGCCGTCGTTGCTGTCAAGGACCAGGGGAGCTGTGGTATGTTTTATTTTCCCTTTTTTAATTTTTTTTTTTACTTTTTAAATTCACAATTTTGCCCTTTGTTTAATAATCCTGTTTTATTGGATGCTATCAATTTTGGTATTTAGATGTATTAAGTTAATTATTATTTTTATCTGTTAACTATAAAAAAAAATGATATCTCTTTGATGAGTGTGTTGCCTCCATAATTGCTTAGGATTCGATTATTGGAATCACACCACGAGAAAATAAATTTTTTTGTAAATTTTTTAATATCGACTGGAGTGACCTGCCTTTGACCTGATTAAGGAAGGGATTAATCAAGAAATGTCTAATTTGAACAAATAATAAAGATCTTAAATAAATTACTAAATAATAGTCACATGAATGTTTATATTTTTGTAATAATTTTCTTATTACCCAAAAAGATTGTTCGAATAAATTCATTAACAAAAAATTTGTTCATGAAAGGGTCGGGCCCAGACCCCTCGCATTGGTTCGAATCAATCAAGTAGCACGATTTTTAGCTTGAAAAAAATGATTTTAGGCTTTACGTTTTCCCTTTTTTTTAAGTAAAACATTTAACATTGAAATATATTTAATTCAGATGTAACTAAAAATAAAAAATGAAACAACTAATAAATTAACGCATTTTTATATATATTTTTGGCAAATATTTTTACTTTCTAAGTTAGTTATATTAAAAAAAATAACAAATAACTAAAACATAAGAAGTGTTCAATGAATAATTTTATTTTATTTTTGTTAACAAATTAAATCAAACAAGGTGGGTTTGCGTGATTGGACGATAATATCCTCTGATTAGTGAATAGATTCATGAATATTTAAGTAATAATAATTGGAGGATTAAGTCAACGGATTTTGGTGGTGAGCGATTGGCAATATGTCATCATCTTTATGATTGTTCCGCCAGTTGTCTGTTTTTTATTTTTTTGGATGAACCTAATGCAAAACCAAAACCATTTTGGCCTTGTATACCGTTATACCCCTTTGATTTATTTATTTATTTATTATTGTTGTTATTACACTAGGTGTGTGTTTGTTTGGACGGACTGGATAAAGGGGAATTGTGATCCATTGGATTATTAGTCCTGGGATACATTGTCCCCGGACTATTTGGTTAAACTGAATTTATATCCTTTGTTTCTTTAGTTATGAGATTAGATGTCTGGATTGGACTGTTTTTAGTGAATCCAATGTTTATTTGGGATATTATAGAAAATGATAAATGCTCAAATGATTATTTTATCATTTTCAATTATTTACTAAGTAATAGCAATTTTAAACATAGCTTTAATATTTTAATTATTTTTAGCTAGATTAAATAAAAATTTATTTATTTTATTTTTTGCACAATTAAATAAATTTATTTTTCAAAAATTAAATAAATTACATATCAATAAAAATATATGTTATTTTTTAATTAAAATTTGAAATAAATTTATTTTAACTAATAATAATAATTAAATAATGAAATTAAATAAAATATAAACAAAATTTTAAAATAAAATATCAATAAAATATCTATAAAAAATTATTTTAAAAAATTAAATAAATAAAACAAAAATAAAAATTAAATAAAATTATTTTATTTTTAAATTGAAACATTTAAATTTTATTAAATTTTACTAAATATAATACATAATTAAATACCAGAGGGCAAAAATATAATTTTATTAGCTAATTCCCATGGGATGAGTTATCCCATGGTTTCTATCCCCCCATGGGATACCATAGTCCCACAAATATGGGTCTAATAGTCTGGAGAAAAACTTTTGAAACAAACAACGGAAGTCCAATCCCGTGCCCAATCCTTCCAAAACAAACACCCCCTAGAAAATATTTAAGTAATAATAATTGGAGGATTAAGTCAACGGATTTTGGTGGTGAGCGATTGGCAATATGTCATCATCTTTATGATTGTTCCGCCAGTTGTCTGTTTTTTATTTTTTTGGATGAACCTAATGCAAAACCAAAACCATTTTGGCTTTGTATACCGTTATACCCCTTTGATTTATTTATTTATTTATTATTGTTGTTATTACACTAGAAAATATTCCAAAAGAGATCTAAAAAATAATGATCAATTTGATTGAAATTATAAAACTAAATACAAATACACATTGATAAAAGAGTTTTCGATATCCGATTAATTTAATTTTTTACATGTATACTGTTATCCAAATGGGTCCTGAAATAAATTTAACAGGCCACCTACAACAGTGATGGTTGTGTCCCGCACAACATCCACCTTGGTCCTAGTTTTATAGAGCACATAGTTCTGTTTGGGTATAGTTTATAAGGTTTTTAATTCTTTTTAATCAGAATTTGTGGATAAGTTTTTAAATTTTGTCACAAATTAAAAGCTAATAATCAATAAATATAATTTAAATTTTTTTCATAATCGTTGATTGTGTGGATTCATGTTGACGTTACGAAACCAGTTATCCCCAATATACATCTTGCCTCCCTTGAGTTTCTTATTGGCTTTAGACCGTGAATTGATGCCATTGAATTCCACGGTGTAAGAATTGTCTTCCAAAGCATCTTCTGGTAACTTATAGTCTTCGGAGTTGCAACTTGCAAAGGCAATAAACGAGAATATTCATTTTTCACGTGGATGGCCACAATACGTCATCCGTGAACTCATTTTGTAGATATTGGTTGTGGTCCACTGTTGGTATTTTCTTCGGCCTGTTGGTCCTTTGCCCTTTTATTCCAGTTGGCCCCACTCTTAATTTTTAATTTTTAGGATAGTTTGGTAGAGTTTATTTTATTTTATTTTATTTATTTACGTAAAAATTTAAATATCTTTATATTTACTTTTAATAAAAAAAAACACAAAATATATTTGATATGTGTTTTAAAATTTGATTTTAAAAATAAGTGAGAGAGATTGATCGGAAGTGGTCGAAAGAAGTTGCTGGTAGCGGCCAGTGGGGGGTGTTGGCACAGGCAGAGGTGGGGGAATAAGGAAGGAATAAAGCTTGTTTTCAAATTAAATGAAAACAAATTTTCTTTTACTTTTACAAGGACTTAATAAATTATTTTAAATTTTTTACGAAAACAATACACTATAAATATGGAAATAAGAAAAAAATAGAGAAGGAGACATTTAAGCGAGATTGTTGACTTTATTATACTGCCTTGAGCATTACGTATATTTAAAATTAATAATTGATTGGGGACTAATTGGTTGATTGGAAACGAAGGGAGTTGCTGGGCATTTTCAACAATTGCTGCCGTGGAAGGAATCAACCAAATAGTGACAGGCAATTTGATCTCGCTATCAGAGCAAGAGCTGGTAGACTGCGACACATCTTACAATGAAGGGTGCAATGGCGGTCTCATGGACTATGCCTTTGAGTTCATCATCAACAATGGTGGCATTGATTCTGAGGACGATTACCCTTACCAAGCTAGAGATGGTAGATGTGACCAATACAGGGTTGGTGTCAAAGTCAAGATTTGTATATATGGTTAAGAAACAGTATAATTTTTGTCTCATTCTTTGGTAAATTACTTTTCATGCAGAAAAATGCCAGGGTTGTTTCCATTGATGATTATGAAGATGTTCCTGAGAACAATGAAAAGGCCTTGCAGAAGGCTGTTGCAAATCAGCCTGTGAGTGTTGCCATTGAAGCCGGTGGCATGGCCTTCCAACTCTATGACTCGGTAAGCTTTCATATTAGTCTTTGTTTAGATATTTACATTAAGGGTAGTAGAGTGAATGAACGTAATGCAACCTAATATTATGAATAGCCTTCGCTCGTTATCTCTTTAAAATTGTTATCCAATTATTTAACCATCTGCACTGCTATATATGATACTCGAGACAATTATTAGTTTCGTTAGAATGCAGTACAGTTCATGAATCAATGACTTCTATGATAAGAGTGAGTTGTGGATAACAATATGCTTTGCACCACTGACTATGCAACTCCAAATATGGTGAAATTTTTCATCAAACACACATAGTACAGGCATCCAACAGGACAGTGGTGTAACAAAAGTTGTTAGAAAATTTAAAATTGATGAAATTTCCAAGTAGTCTAATCCCTTTTTATTTATTCATTCTGTTCAGGGCATATTCACCGGAAAATGCGGGACAGCGCTAGACCATGGTGTTACTGCTGTTGGATATGGTACAGAAAACGGTGTGGATTACTGGATTGTGAAGAACTCGTGGGGCGCAAGCTGGGGAGAGAGGGGCTACATCAGGATGGAGCGTAATTCTGTTCGCACAGGCAAATGCGGAATTGCAGTTGAGCCTTCTTACCCTATCAAGATCGGTCAAAATCCCCCCAACCCCGGCCCATCTCCTCCATCCCCAATAAAGCCTCCAACCGTTTGTGACGATTACTATGCTTGCCCTGAGAGCACCACATGCTGCTGTGTCTATGAATACGCCAACTATTGCTTTTCTTGGGGATGCTGCCCACTCGAGGGCGCCACATGCTGTGAAGACTATTCTAGTTGCTGCCCCCACGATTATCCCATATGCAACATTTACTCAGGCACTTGCCGAATGGTAAGAACTATATATACACCATTGTCTTCGTTGATGTAAGTCTGTTTAGGATATTCTAGAAAAGCCAAAAGCAACTCTGTACTTTTCCACTAACAAAAAAAGTAATTTTTTTTGGTAACTTCCCAAACACATTAAACTGTTTTAGCTTATAAAATAGCCAATCCCAAACAATATGTTACCGGTATGTGGTGCGGTCTTACTTGACATTCTTTGATGAAACAGAGCAAGGACAACCCGTTGGGAGTGAAGGCAATGAAGCGCATTCAGGCTAAGCCTCACTGGGCCTATGTGACTGGTGGAAAGAAGAGCAGCAGTTCTTAGGGGAAGCTTTGGAGCTTTTGAGCAGCGGATAGAGGAGAGCAGCGGGAGGTTGAAAGGATTGCATATCGTATATGCTTTCATAGTCTCTCTTCTGGAATAATTATTTTCAGCACACTTCATTTCCAATTGGATGGATAGTCAATCAGTGATTATTCATATGCTTATCATGTATATAATGATATGAAATGCTTTACATTTCTGATTCTCTGTTGGATATGAACCAACAAACAGTTTATTTCAGTTTCCAGTTTCTGCTGATTTATGTACATACTGCTTTAAATTCCAGTAATTGTTGTAAGGGTGGATTTCATGAAATACTTTATCCTCCTAATGCTGCCTGTACTTCATATGATGGTAATAGCATTTGTGTTTTGTTGTTGTTCAAGTTATAATTGGGTTCCAATTGCTATTTTTCTAGCTACGGTACTAGAAAATGGATTTTTTGGGTCCAAGTTTTGTGGCTCGGCTATTTTGCTGTCACTAGTGGAAGATTTTAGTGCTTTTTTCCTTTGCTTGGTGATATTATATATGGATTGATCAAAGTTTATTGGTGTAATTTCTGACTAGAACTCCGCAATGATGACAAAAACACAAACAATAAAACCGAAGATATTGAAGGAGTGCTGATTAAAGAACCCAAGGTCATACAACAAATGAAATCTTTTTTGGCGTAGATAATGGAACTAGTAGATACAAAGGAATTGATGCATATAACTTGAGAGGGGAATTTGTGCTGAACAGATGGGCTGAGCAACATTCGGATGTAGGCTAGTCTTGAATATCATAACTGAGCTAGAAGGATGCCCACATGTTGGACTGAGATGTCTAATCGGCCTGGGGCAAGAAACAAGCTCGGTCAAGTAACAGCCAGCCATCTTTAATAAGGCCAAGGGTTGTGGTCAATGACTCCAACTAAGCTCTGAAACTAGGTGGGATTTGCCATGGAGGTGAGCAGGATTTGACCAGGCTAGAGAAATGACCAAGGTCGACCACTTAACCCGTGAGTGGATTGAGCATGTTGATTGGGCAAATATGCCAGGCCGAGAAGAGATTAGGAAGGTGGCAAGACTCTCCACCGAGCTGTGCATTTCAGCTAAGGAGGGCGACCCATAGCTTGACCGAGATGCAAGTCAAGAAGAGCTGCGAGGTGCGTGGTAGTTTGACCAGAGCCAGTCCAACCTGGTTGATGTGTGACGGACTGAGCATGAGTTAGCTCGGTTGGTGTGTGCTACATGGCCCAATTTGAATGCAAGGAAAAAAATCTATCATCCGTACGCGTCAATACTGTTTGGAGGTTTGGTTAATGTTGTTTGGCAGTATTGACGCATATATATGTAGGCGAAGAGAGAATAGTACATCCACATGTCCAAAAAAGAACGAGCAAGGTAATGCGCGCACAAACTATATAAGCTTTGTGGCGCCTCTATGCAAAAGGTCTGCAACCTTTTCTTACACATAGCTATCCTTTCTTTTGTCTTCTTTCTCTCTCTAAAGGTGCTAACTTGACCATTGGAGGAGTTTTTCGGCAACAGACTCGCCGGATGGCTCACCGTCTTTGTGCTTTTAGGTTGTGCGACACCGTTTGGAGTAATGCAAGGCTTGGACGGAAGGAGTACAGAAGCGAAGAATATTTGCTTCCCGTACATAACTGTTTCTTGATCTACTCAGGAAATAAATTGAATCTATGTCATATTTGTCTAACCTTTGAATTTGGCAACGTGGCAATATGAGATAGATATGGGTTAGAGGATGAGATAGTGAGTGGGGCAGATGATCTTATAGGCTTATACTTGCCATACTTTTCTAGTTTTAAGCCTCAAAATAGAGATGATATTATTTGGATTCCCCTCCAGCAAAGGTGCGTATAGTGTTAAATTTGCTTTGGAAGTCTATAGGAATCACACAGAATATCCCCCAAACATGCATTTATTTACCATGAAAGATTGGCAACTAAGGATAGATTCAATTCATGTATGTTATGTGTTATCCCCGGTACGTAACCAAGAGGGTGGTTAAATTGAGTTATTAAAAATTTCACAATATTAAAATTAATACAATATTCAGAATTTTAATACATAAAAAAAAACAAAATAATAATTATCAAAAGCAAGAGAGATAGGGAGAGAAAATCAAACACTAAGATTTATAGTGGTTCGGCACGCCAGGCCTACGTCCACTCCTCAAGGAACTTCCTTGAGAATTTTTTTACTATCAATTGAATAAATACACTACCAAGCTTGTGGATTTGGTACAGGACTTACTCTTATCTATTGAGCTTCACTCAATAATAAATGTCTTATCCTTACAAAATCTCTTACAAAAATGAGGAATAAGAATAAGTGGTACTTAAACCCTCCTTTACAATAATTCTCTCACAAAGAGTAGATATGAAAGTGTAAGAACAAAGGCTAGACTTAGATCTGAAAGTGAAAGAGCGGAATACAATATACTCAAAATTTTGGAGTTCACAGAAAATTTTCTCTTCAAGTTCTTGATTTTTCTCCACACACACACTTCTATTTATACACAAAAATATACCCGTTAAACGCTCCTTGCCGACGTCATGGCTTACATAAGCATGCCCGTTGATTTTAAATAGTCAGCAAATGTGAATAATTAAAAAGGTAAAAGTGAAACTGATTTTTTCTTTTTGTTTTTTTAAACATGGAGCCACCGTTTTTATAGACAATTTAATACAAAATTCACAACTTTCAAACAAGCAAATGATTTGCTCCATCTTGTTTTATTATAATATATAACTCTATCTTTTTCTTCTTGTTTTATTATAATATGATATAATCAATGTAATGTAAAAAATTTAATAGCTCACGTGATGTATTCTATTTATATTATATGCATTCTATATAATATTCTAATCAAATATTTGCATATATAGTAAAAATCCCTTTAATAATATTTATAAATAGATCTGATCATATATACTATTTTTCTGTATATGTGTAGAGATTTTAAATTAAATATAACCTTCCACTCCATATCAATTTTGTCAAAAGAAGACAACTCAATTAATATCAAATTTGTCAAAATAATACAACCAATCAATCTAAAAATTTGTCAAAAGATGAATAGTAATCAGCCTAATTTATTCAAAAAGTGAATAGTAAAGTTTTTAAAAAATTTTTTTATTTAAATAAATTTTAACAAATGTATCATACAATATATATTTTAAATAGATAATATTTTGTGTCAAATAATATAAAATATGTATATTATTTACAAATTTTCAATTAATATTTTACACATCATCAAAATTAAACAACATGATTAACAATCTCCCCCTTTTTGATGATGACAATATTTGTATGGATTTGACACAAAATAAAAATTAACAAGTTATTTGATAATTTTATAACATAAAATATTTAAAGCGCATGCATGCACAGCAATTCAAAGTCATATGTTTTTTTCTCCTTTTGACATCATCAAAATAAAATATAGAGATAGAAAACAGACACATTTGGTAAAATAATCTGAGATGCCAAAAATAGAAGAATGGCCCATAGGTCTTGTCGAGATCATTGTGGGGATTTTGAAGCATCTCGATCGCAGAAAATGTTGAGAAACAAAAGATTTGAGCAAATAAAGCATCGAGTAATGGATCGATGGAGTGTATAAAAAGTGACACAGATCATAGGCAAAGATACGAAATCATCAAGTGTTTGAGAGAAAAATTTGTTTCAGCTTCTTGTGTAATCATGTCATTCCTTACCTTAGCCATCAATGGTTTGGACCTGCATGAGGTGCCTGTAATGCAGGCAAATGAGAGGGTACCAGTGGTGCAGGCACATGCTATGCTTGTAAATGAGGGTCCTAGTGTTATTGGTAATCGAAATGATATCGATGCTATTAATAATACTATGGCTCTTAGTACACAGACAATGACTGCAGTGTCTAATATGACACAACGATTACAAGCAAGAGTATAAGAAAATCAGCAATGGAGAGATGATGTGTGCTTGTTAAAACAACAAGTAGTTAATATGTGTAAGGAGAAGAAAGAACTAAAAAGGAAAAATGCATAGTTGGAGAATACAGTGCATTATTATGCAACGGTTATAATGCCAAGGCTCACTGAAATCGAAAATAGAGAGAAGCAGGTAAAAGAGGCTCATGAAAAATTGTTAAGAGAAGTGAGAAAGAAAAAATTTGTGAAGCCTTCTGAAAATTTACATGTAATTGAGTAATGTTTTCTTTTTTTGAAATAAAATTGCGAGCATTTCTTCTTTATTTATTTATTTATTATTATTATTTTTAATTCTGTCTTTGCACAAAAAAATTGGTTTGTTGTTGCAGATAAGGAGTATTGCAGATAAGAAGTAAAAAAATATGTATATATATACTCCCCCTAAAATTATGCACAGAATATACCCATTTTTTTATTTTATATTTTTATAATAATTGTTAATCTCAAAGTATATGAGTCTCCCCCTAAATTAATGCACTAAAAATTACACAAATTTGAAGAAACAAATTACCAATCTATAATACCAAGGGCCATTAAGATCCGGCCATAAACAACTACACCAAGTGCACCAGCATAAAAGGAGAAAATAAAAATAAAAACAATTTCTTCAGACAAAGTCGAAGCAACCATTATTAAATCCAAGAGAATTTGGAGCACATACAATAAGTAAAAAAATAGAACATAGTGCAAAAAAAATTTTAACATGTTGATCGGTGATGACCTTGATGATCGGAGGAAATCGAGAAGGTAGTGTAGATCAGTGACGAATTTGTGTAGATCGACAATGGATCTTGATGGATCAGTCACAGATCTTGATGGATCATTCACGGAACTTGATGGATCGGTGATGGAATTTGATGAATCAGTAAATATGGTGATGTAGATTTTGGGTAGAGAAGTGATGGAGTTCGGAAGTTTGGTGAGGGGTTTGGGTGGATGATGGTAGTGATGAAAGTGATGGATGATTTTGTGGATGGTGCATGGTGGAGCTGGTTGTAGGCTATAATGAGGGTGGAGATGGAGTCGGTTGAGGATATGAGGAAGAAGGGGAGAGCGAGAGAGCAAGAGAAAGAGAAAAAAAGAGAGTAAAGGAGAGAGAGAGTGAGAGATAGAGACGGAGCGGGTGAGAGAGAGAAAATATATGTATATAATTTTATTATTATTATTATTATTATTATTATTTTTATTATTATTAGAAATATTTTATTTAATTATTTATTTAAAAAAATTATTTTTAATATAAACATTATATTGGAGAATTCATCATACCAAGTTCTGTTCTAATATAACATAATTGTTCTTCATTTAGAGGCTTGGTAAATATGTCAGCTAATTGACGATTTGTAGGCACAAATTCGAGTTCAATGTCACATTTGAGTACATGATTTCTTAGAAAATGATGCC